AGAGTCTTCAGAGGAAGGGAGGAGAGGGGTCAGCACTGAGTTGAGGTAAGGGGTACTAGAAAAGGAGCCTCTTCTTGCCTAAGGTAGAGAAGTGGGGGAGGAGAAGGGCTGGAGTGAGGGAGCCTGCTGGCAGACAGAAGTGCCCTGGATATAATGACAAGCCTAGCTGCCTTCTATCTATGTAAACAACTCTGTATGTGCCCCCACCCCCCACCCCAATAGCCATGGCATGGCCACAGTTGGTTAGACCAGAGCAGAGACATGACATTGGCCATCTGAGTGCTGACCAACAGCCCGGCGTGGCCTGGTACATAGGGCTTTTCCAAACAGGGAAAACTAGGCCACTCCTGTTCTCGTTCTGCCTCTGGCTTTTGGTCTCTTTCTCAAAAGATCCAGAGGGAAGTTTTCTTGTAGATCCATGAGCTGATCTGAAAGGTTATGAAGAAGGCTATAGACCAGGCACAGCGTTGCCAGATTAAATAAAGAATAGTTAAATTTGAATAACAGATCCACAAAAACAACAAAAAATTTTTTTAGTGTATCCCAGATAGTACATGGGCTATACTTACACTAAAAAAGCTATTCGCTCATTATTTATCTCTGAAATTCAAATGTAAGTGAACGTCCTGCACTTTTCACTTGCTAAATCTGGCAACCTTATCACGTGTCCTTATGCATCACGTGCATATGAAGCATGTGGGGCAAAGCAGGGCACATCTCTTCTCTGCCTTTAGGAAAAACGCAGTCCAACTCCCTCTGGTGCTGGGAGGCACTGTCCCAACGCTGCACGCATGTCTCCTGTGCTCTCTTCACTGGCGCTCCCCTAAAGCCATCAGAAGGTACTGCATATTCCTTCCTGACAATCCTCACCGCTCAGTCTCCCCTGACCAGACACACAGTATTAGGAGCAATGTACTGAAGGTCATCACCCAGGCTGTAACAGCCTCGGACTTTATTCTACTACACACCAGCACATGCCTTCCAGACTAGATCTTCAAAAACAGGCAATCTCATATAAATGCTCCATATCTCCCTCCTTTGTCAACTCTTCTCCAGCTACGTGGCCTCTCTTTGAAGCCCTCAGTGAAGTGCCCCCACACCCGCCCACTCCCTCAGTAAGCCCTTGCCCTCCCTGGAGGAAGAGGACAGTCCTCCTCTCTATCTTTGGCTGGGACTTGCAACCTCGAGCCCCTGAGAGGCTCTGCTCTGTTTAGTCACTGCTGACTCTGGGAGGGTGAGAGCAAATCCTGGTGTTTGATAGCTTGACGTCTTCAGAAACGTCCCTAAAAAGCAAGGCACTCTCTCCAAGGTGAGTGGTTTCTTCTCAGCTACCATGACCAATCACATACAAAGAAAATGCATGTGAAAATGGCATTTTTTTTTAAAATGGCATTAATTTGACAAGTTTCAAAAGAGTAATTGTGTTGAGACAGAATTGTTTTTTTCTTGTCTCCCTGAGACTAGCTTTCATGACCAGAAGTGTACATTGGCTCTCCTTACCACCCTGGGGGCGGGGGGTGGTGCCAACTTTAATTTAATCTTCTTTACTATCTCCTCCTTTCTAACCTAGCTAAAAGGGGAGATTCCCCCCACCATTTAGCAGTGTACATAAGGAGCTAGTGAGAACTACCTGATAGAGAGGAAAGGAATGGAGTGGATGTGCACAATGAAAGCCAGAAAGCCTTGGAAGAAAACATAGTGTGGATTTCTGGTGTCAGATGCCATGAACACGTCAGTTCATGTTTTGGATTTCCATAAGACCTCTATTCTTAGAGAAATAAGCAACATAGAGAACAGACTTGTGGTTGCCAAGAAGTTGGGGGAAGAATGGATTGGCAGTTTGGGATTAGTACATGCAAACTATTACACGTAGACTGGATAAACAACAAGGGAACTATATTCAATATCCTGTACTAAACCATAACAGAAAAGAATTTGAAAAAGTATATACATATATATATATGTATGTATAACTGAATCACTTCGCTGTACAACAGAAATAAATGCAATCTTGCAAAACAACTATACTTCAATAAAATAAATTTTAAAAAGAAGCACATCACCATCTAAAAAAGGAGTCAGCAAACATTTTTACTACAATTACATATTTTTTATTTTTATTGAGATATAATTGAGATATACTAGTTTCAGATGTACAACATAATGAATCAATATTTGTATATATTGTGAAATGATCACACAGTAAGTCTAGTTAACATCTATAAAGGGCCAGATAGTAAATATTTCAGGCTTTTCAGACCATTCAGTCTCCTGAAACTACTAAACTCTGCTGTCGTAATGCAAAAACAGTCATAAACTATATGAAATCAAATAAACATGACTGTGTTCCAAAAAAATTCTATTTCAAAAATCAGTGTTGACACCCTTCAAGTGAGGAAAGTAATGATCAAACTTTGAGAGCTCATGTCTCCCTATTCCTACTTTCCAACCAAGAGCCATGATTTTGGTTTGTGCTACCACTATCCCATCTCTCAACTCTTTGCGACCTCATGACCTTGTAGCCCCCGCCAGGCTCCTCTGTCCGTGGGATGACCCAGACAAGAATACTGGAGTGGATTTTGCCATTTTCCTTCTCAACTAATGCCACCATCTCAATTCAGTGGTTGGTTCCAACATCCACAATTGGGAAACCTTAGTTTTTTCATTTTTGTTTTTCTTTATCAGAAATCATACAAAGCTCACCCAGATTTGTAAGGACTATATCCTGCGATGGTAGACTCTTTCTAACTCCTTTCTGCTTGTCTGATCCTAGTGTTAGGTCTAACAATAGTCCCATTTGCTGCCAAATTTGCCACAGGGCCAGAAGCTGCCTCTGTCCCAGCTTTGTTATCAGAGAAAAAACTTTTTCTACACACTTATATTGTCATTTGGGGCCTGTGAATTAAATGGACAAGACTGGTTAACAAGAGTTCACAGAAAAATGTGACTCTAGGAGGCAGTTAGAATTTGGGCTTTTGCACTATCTTAACAGGATAAGGGGAAGGGGAGCAGGCAGTTACAGGAAAGCAAATGACTTTCAAGTTCTCCTTAGGAGAACCGAAGGAAGATACAGCTTTATGACCATGTATGCCCGTGATGCCCTCCTTTAGCCCATCTTCTCTAGTTGTGAAAGTGAAAGTCACTCAGTCATGTCCGACTCTGTGGCCCCATGGACTATACAGTCCATGGAATTCTCCAGGCCAGAATACTGGAGTGGGTAGCCTTTCCCTTCTCCAGGGGATCTTCCTAAACCAGGGATCTCTAGTTGTGGGAGGGGATTTATGAAAATGGAGTCCTTTGGGAAGGCTCCACATTTAGGTAGATAATGGCGTTCAGAAAAAAATTCAGTTCTCAAACGCTTTCAGCTTAAAATAATTTTTATGCTGCAGAGGCTCTTCCAGACTCCTTCAGCCTTATTCCACAGAGGGGCCTCTGATGAGAAGACTCAAGGGAAAGCTGCTGGTGCTCACCGCTGATCCTTCCCTACTGACCCTGAGACCCACACAATTCAAGATGCTGTTCCAAAGTGAACCATCTTCCCCTGCTGTGTTCCACCTGGTCTTGCCCCTTCCCACTGCTTCTCAGGAACCATCCTGATTTTCACGTCCAGAGAAAACGTTACTGAATCCTCAAATATATGTTAGAGTTCTTCTACCTGAAACTGTAACCTCATTCTCTGGAATAAAGGGATTTGGACCAAGGTTTACAGGCCCTGCAAAGACTAATTGTACTCATATTGCAAGAATTCAACTCAAACTAGCTAAGGATTAAAGAAATCACAGGCTTACATCACAGCAAGTTTAGGGGAGAAGGTGGCCTTAGCCCCACTATTCCAAGTCATTCAACTTCTGTCTCATTTTCTGCCTTTGCTTACTTAAACCCTTGGTTTTTCACCCCTTCTAACCATTTCAGTGGCTGACACAAGCTTTGTCTAGGGTACCTCCTTAAGTCTTAAATATGGAGGGAGAGTTTTTTGTTTATAGATAAAAGCCCAGCGGTTCTGACCTTGCTTATGTCAACTAGCAGTTAACTCCTTCCTCAAATAGCACAATGGGGATGATAAATACCTGCCTGGAAAGGGTGTTGTTGGATTTCTCCCCTACATTGGCAAGTGGATTTTTTTTTTTTCCAACAGCTATCTGTATTCTTTTAATTGGAGGATAATTGCTTTACAGTGTTGTGTTGATTTCTGCCATACATCAACATGACTCAGTGGTAGGTATACAAATGTCCCCTGACTTGAACCTCCCTCCCACTTTCCCCTTCATCCCACTGCTCCAGGCTGTCACAGAACAGGGGGTTTGAGCTCCCTGTGTCAGCAAATTCCCACTGGCTATCTATTTTGCATATGGTAATATATATGTTTCAATGGTACTCTCCCAATTTGTCCCATCCTCTCCTCCCCCGTCCATAAGTCTGTTCTCTTTGTCAGGCAGGCGGATTCTTTACCACTGAGCCACCACTGAGCCAGCTGGGAAGCTCATGGGGCCATTGGTGAGGTTCTAAAGGAACTTGATCTAGAGAGCTGGTTGTGTCCCGGGTCTCAGCCCTCAACCCCCAAGTCTCTCAGACTCTGGGGCACTGAGGCAGCAGCGCAACTCATGAACCTTGGAATCAAGGAAAAGTCCTGAACCCTAGGGCCGAGAAAAAAGCCAAGAGCGAGACCAAAGGGCATGTCAGGGCCACCCTGCTCCGCAGGAGAGCGATGCTGCATAACCGTGGGGGCTGAGAACACAGCCACTGGCCGCAGCGAAGAGAGCCGCAACCGCTCAGCTGTGCGAATGAAGCGGAGAACAATGCGCTCAAACCCTGCACGCGGAGGCTTGCGGTGCCCCGCCCAGGGCGGGTCCGACTCAGAGCCTGCCGGGAAATGTAGTGTCTAAAGCTGCGCCAGTGCAGCGCGGCTGCCTGCCAGCCTGAGTCACGCGCAACTACAGGTCCCAGCACGCCCCGCGAGGCCTTGATCAGCCGCTGTTCTCAGGGAAGGGAGTGGGGCGAACATGGCTGAAGACAGCCGAGGCGACTCAGCGTGCGGTGGGATGGATGGCAGGCAGGATCCGGTCCCCAGCAGTGGCGGCTTCAACTTTCCAGAGTACGAGCTTCCTGAGCTAAACACGCACGCTTTCCATGTGGCCGCCTTCGGGGAGCTGTGGCGTGGCCGGCTGCGCGGGGAAGGGGACCTGTCGCTGAAGGAGCCGCCGGCACCGGCGCTGCCCGGGGCCGGAGGAGTCAGCGACTCCCGCAGCGAGGATGCCGCCGTGGCCCGCGATCTGGGCTGCAGCCTGGAAACGGCAGCCGAGCTGAGGGCGGTGTGCGGGTGAGTGCGGGGCCGAGGGGGCTCTTGTAGCTTGGAGTCATCCAGGGTGCAGCCTTGCTCCTTCCCTCCCCTGGACTCATCCTTGGGCGGGCCTGTGGTTTCCTCCCCGGGGTAGAAGGGCCGCCCTATCAAAGCTTTCCCGGAACAACGGGAGAAGTCCCGCGAGGGGAATGCACGATTTCTTCCAGTTGAGTGAAGGGACGAGGCAGCTGCAAGAAAGATTAATTTTTCTATTCACTAGTTTTTAAAGTGCTTATTAATATAAGAAAGTAGTCAGAGTAACAGCGACGTGTATCTGTCATTGACAGACTTTAACGACGGAGGAACCTTAGTAATGAGACTGGAAGGAGATTTAACCAGAACAGTGTTAAAACCTTGATTGTCTGTGGTCTCTTGGGGATCTTCTGAATATGCCGTTACTAAGATTTTCTTCAAAGTGTCTTATTTTGGATGAAAATATAAAAATCAGTAAGGATCTCTTTCTCCTTTAAACAATATTGGCCGACTTCAGTCAGCCATGTATCCCTTTCATTAATTGAGTATCGGCGCATAATTTGCCTTTAATTCTCGCTCTCTGATTATTTAGTGAAGTATTTGGGACACAGCCCAAATGGTTGCGTGATTGCTTTTTTTGTTTGTTTTTGTTTTAGCCTTGATAAACTGAAGTGCCTTGAGGAAGGGGAGGATCCAGAAGTCATCCCAGAAAATACTGACCTAGTGACTTTGGGGTATGGAGGACTTAACTTTTATTACAAGATAATTATTTAAATATTTTTTTCAACATTATATTATTCAGAAGTTGACAGCATGGTATTGTTATCATGTGTGTGCTTAGTCGCTCAGTCATGGCCTACACATTGCGACCCTCTTCCCCACCCCGTAAATTCAACCACTGTTGACATTTGGCCCTATTTGATTTAGCTGTATGTGTATGAGGTAGCTGCTGTGTGTCTTTATCTATTGCTGAACTGTTACAGTAAGTTGTAGACCTAATTCATGGCTAAATACATCAGTGTGAACTCCTAAAAGTGTCATTCTCCTACTAAATCAGAGAAGGATTATTATACTTAAGAAAATTAACAGTTAATGCATTCCCTCTAATATCTACTCCATATTCAAATTTGTGTTTATTTTTAAATGTTTACAAAAGTACAGTTAATCCATTTAGATTTTTGGGTGCAAGCTAAATACTCTGATGGTGTGGTAAAAGAACTAAGTTTTTAAAAAAATTTTCTGTCAGATCTATACTTTTGTAAAATAGGATAAAAATGAATTACTAGAAAAATGAAATTAAAAGATAAGCACAGTAGAACGCCAAAATTTTTATTACTAAATTCAACAGTAAAATTATTATCCTTTAAGTGCGATCATTTCTAAACTCTTCCTCTTATTGTACTAATTGGATAACAGATGGTTCAGAGATCAGTTCTGGTCTGCCTGCCATATCTTGAGAAATGCTGCTCTATGATAATATTGTTATAGGGAAACTGCATGTAATAGTGAAATTTGTAATTTCCAGTTTGTAACCTGCTTACTTCACACCATCTCAGCTATGTTTTCATCCTTTATCCTATCCTTTCTGTTGTCACCCTCAAAAATTTAGGCAGGTGATTTGACTATCTTGTTTTTTTATTTGTAATTGCCAAATCTGTTTCTTTTATGCCTGTTGCTGACATTAGCAACATTTGGAGCACTGTAAAAGGTTCCTGTCTTCCCCAGGTCCTGTCTTTTCTTCTGACTTACCCATCATGTTATCACCTCAGTATGCTCATTTGCTGAGAAACTGTCAATGGCTCAGCCTCCTCTATGGACAAATTTCAGATTCTTCACTCAGATTCCTCATTTGAAACCTTCCACATAGCCCCAGTATGCCTTTCTTGATACATTTTCAACCATTTTCTCTTTCAGTGGCTCAGGATGCACATGGCCCCTCTCCCAGCGGAACCCTATTCTTTCTTTGAGTCCCTAAGATTCTTTTCCACATCTCTGCAACCCATCTCTCTCCCTTAGGGAGTAGATGCTCTTGTAATGTCTAGAGCACTTCTAACACTTCTAAAGTATTTGAATACTCATTGAGAGTCCAGCTCCTTCATCTTTGAATTGCCTTTAAGCCTGTTGTACTGCTTTGCTCCATTTGGCGCCCTTAAACTGTTGCTGATTGATTAGTTGGGTTTTTTTTTTTATAATGCACATCTGATTGTGTCACTCTCTTTTTTAAAACCTTTGTCCTTAAATGGATCACAGAGGCCTCTATAGAATGGATCTTGCTGACCTTTTCAGCCCTATGCGCTCCAGCCATGTTACACTTTTTATGTTCCTAGAATGTGCTCTCTCATCCTAGATCTTTGCCTAGAACACTCATGAGTCCTTATCCCCTGGTCTTGCTGACTTCTGCTCATTTTTCAAGTCTTAGCTGAAGGACTATGGACTCCATCTAGCTCCCCTGTTATGTTCATGTGGTCCCTAGTTCTTCTCTATCAAAATACTCATCCCACTTATTTAATTTTCTGGCTTCTAGCTAGGCTTAAAAGTTCCATAAACAATGTCTGTCACATGCACTGCCGTGTCCCCCATACCTAGAATTTTGGCATATTAATAGGGAGTCAGAAGATATTTGTAGAATGAGTGGGATAAATGAAACTTGCATAAACCTAAGGAAGTGATTTTTTTCCAAGATTGACTAAAAGAAGAAAGTTGATGGTAATTATAAAGCAGGTTTTTTTTTTTGCTATAATAACATGCTCATTGGCTTATAATGACTTTATTAAGCTATATGAAATGGTAATTTTCAGACTACTTTACACAGTGCTTCCCCTGGCTATTTTCTGTTATTAGATTCAACTGAATCTCCTTAGTTGTCTTCTAGTCCCTTCCATGGGAAGTTTGAGTAGAATTATATGTATAATCTAATCAAAAGGAGTTAGTGCAGCATTTCTTAGCTGGATTTATTTTGATGTACTTTAAAACGTATTTAAAATAGGACTAATATTAAACGGTACCACAAGCAAATTAGACTTACTTGAAAAGCCAAAAATCTGTATCTAGGCTTTCTCTTCCCCTGCTAAACCTTCCTTTCTTCTCCCTACCAATAACTTAAATACAAAAAAGGAAAAACAGCACCTAAATACATGACCCCTTTATTATGGCATAAAATAAATTTCTAGCACTTCTTTTCCCCAAAGGAGCTACTGGACTCCTTTTTATGTATATTAAGAGGAAAAAGGCAGTTGATAGACTGCTGCTGTCCCTGATCCATAGCAAGCTTATCTTCAGCATTTTTGAAATTTTTATTATTATGTAAAGAGATTTTAATTCCAAGGAATAAGAGAGTTGTTACTACATGGGTGCTACTGAGACTTCTTTGTCACCCCAGAAGGTTAAGCAACACTTTTTAATTCAATAGCTTGTAAATAGAATATTTTAAAATATAATCTAAGAAAAATTTCCAGAATTGGGAAGAAAACCCAAATCTACAAATCAAAAGGTTTCACTGGTTACCTAGGAAAATTAACCCAGAATTATCAACTCCGTAACAAAAATGCAAATACCAGGACTTACTTCCCAATTTCTAAAAAACAAACAAGCAAAAAGACACATCTCATAATGAAAAAAACAGCTAATATAACAAAATACGTACAATTATGAAATGTAATAGAATTGAGACCATAGGCATCAGTTTTCCTACAGCCTTAATAAAAGTAGTTTAGGCTTCCAAAACAAAAACCTTGAAGAGACAACAAACACGTCTAAAATAAAGTAATCCAGAGAGACTAGAAATAAATGGTGGGACAAATGTACATCAGATAAATGGAAAGAAATTGAGCAGATGTAATTAACGGTCTTGATGGACTTCCCAGGTGGCACCAGCGGTAAAGAAACCGCCTGCCAATGCAGGAGACATAGAGATGTTGGTTCAATTCCTGGGTCGGGAAGATCCCCTGGAGAAGGGCATGGCAACCCACTCCAGTATTCTTGCCTGGAGAATCCCATGGACAGAGGAGCCTGGCAGGCTGCAGTCCATAGGGTCATACTGAGTCAGACATGACTAAAGCAACTTAGCACATGCACACAATAGTCTTGATATCAGAATAATAAAGTTTAAGCCTCAAAACATTACATCTGACAAAAGACACATTTTAATGCTAAAAACCACAAACCACAGTTAAGAGAAAATACTTATATATACACCAAATAATATAAAACAACCATAGGGGATATAAGCTTTATAAAACAAACTATCGGGGATATAGGAAATAAGCTAGAAATGCATTAACAATAGGGCACCTTAATATACTAATCTCAGCACAAGACAGATCATCTGAGAGCTCTAATCAGTAGGATATGTCTTATGGATATGGATATATATATATAATATATTCATAAAATTTATAACCTATATTAGAGACTACCTGGCTCATTTAGAAAAACTGGCTCTGTATTAGGTCACAGAGGAAACATCAGTACCATACATAGAGTAGAAATAATATAAACAACACTCTGATTACAACAAAATAAAGCTAAAATTTACTCAGAACAAAAAACGGGCCATTCCAACATGGAACTGTTCTAACAGGGCTACTGTTCTAACATGGTAAAATATGTATGCCTTAGTTGTAAAGCTAGTATCTTATTTAATAGAGAAACATTAAAGCCGTACAGGTATTTTTATCAAGATCTGGAGTAAGGCAAGCATGCCTAGTATCTCCACTTACTTTGCAGCATTCATTGTTCTATAGGATTAGCCATGCAGTTTGACAAAAGAAATCAATTAGAAGCATAAGAGTAGATGAAGAGGAAAAATTAGCTCTATTTGTGAATGATAAAATGGTATTACCTGGAAAAGAAATAAGTGCTAAAACAGACCAAAAGCAAAAGAATTTAGTGTAAGAGCAGGATACAAAATTGATATATAAAAAATAATAGCCTTCATATAAACAATAAATAACTAGAGGACATAATGGTGGAGAAAATTCCTATTTACAATAGTCAGAAAGATTAAACACTTAAGAATAAATTTAACAAGAAATGTATAAAGCTGAGGGAAACAGAAATTGTAAACCTTCCTGAAAGACTCAGAAGAAGTCTTGGAAAAAATTGAAAGATATCCTCTGTTCTTAGGTAGAAATACTCAACTTTATGTTGTCAGTTCTTTCTAAGTTAATTTACAAATTAAGTACAATCCCAATAAAATACCAAAAGTATTGGTTCCTTCATGGAGTTAGACAGTTGATAATAAACTTCATATGGAATATTTGCAAGAATAACTAGGAAAAATTGGGTAGGGGGAAGAAAATTGTGACTTCCTAGTAATTTTGCTATATATTAAAATATACTACAAAGTCTTTATAATTAAAATAGTTACTAGCTCATGAGTAGACAGATAGACGTTTAGAATAAAAGAGAAAGTCCAGTTAGATTCAAATGCATATGGAAATTTAGTGTGACACTATACACAAGAATAAACTCCAAAGGGATTGGGATCAAAATGTAGAGAATGAAACATACCTATCTCGGTATAGTGAAAGGCTTTTTAACTATGATTTAAACCCAGAGATAATAAAAGGGAAAGACTGATAAAATTGACTACATAAACATGTAAATTTTTTATATGACAAAAAAAAGCACCATAAAGTCAAAACGCTGCCAAACTTGGAGAAAATATATGCCCAGAGAGCCAATAACCCTAACACATAACCCTAACAAATACCAAAAGCCAAAAGGGAAAATGGGAAAAAGATACGAACTAATAATTCACACATACGAAAGGATCAAAATGATTCACAAACATGAAAAAATGTTCATGCATGTTCATTGTTAGAAAAATGAAAGTTAAAATGATCTTTTTTCTCTTATTGTTGTTATTTGCTAAGTTGTGTCTGACTCTTTGTGATCCCACAGACTATAGCCACCAGGCTCCTCTGTCCATGAGATTCTCCAGGCAAGAATACTGGAGTGGGTTGCCATTTCCTATTCCAGGGGATCATGCCAACCCAGGTCTGCATTGGTATGTGCGTTCTTTATTACTGAGCCACGAAGGAAGCCCTTTCTCCTATTAGACTGGCACAAATTTTAAAATATACATTCTTTTGAGGAGGCTGAGGGGGAGCAGGCATTTTCATACATTCCTGATGGAAACGTAAATTGATAACAACGCTCCTCTAGGGAAATCTGGTAATACCCAACACAAAATTACCTAGGCACTTAACTTTTGACTCAGCAGTCCAACTTCTAGCATTCTCTGCTGAAGAGACACCTCCAACAATATGAAAATATATTATGCACAAGGTTATTCATTACAGCAGTGTTTGTAACTGCAAATATTTGAAATATTCTAAATACACATATGTAGGAGAATGTTGAAGAAATTATATTGGACATCCACACAGTGGAGTATGGGACAGCTGTGCTAAAAGATGAGGAAAGATAAACCAATAGATTTCTAGGCAATACTGATTTGTGAAAAAAAAGTAAAGCCCTAAAGCATATGCTCCCTGTTATGTAAGAAATATTACCGGGTATCAATTTATTGGCTCTCATCTAAAAATGTACCCTTTTTGCCTGCTCTGTAAAAATGAGTCTCAGCTCTTTAAATATTTTTCCTTTCCCAGCTGGCGCAGTATTAAGTAAGCTTCATCAGTAAAGGGCACAGGCGAGACTTTCATGAGAACAGAGTTTTGCTTCTTGGTCCAGTGTTTAGCAGGGACCTGCTGCGCTTCCCAAGCACCCAGCTCCTTGCATTACCAGGTGGCCTGTAACACAGCAGCTTTCTCCCCGACTCCACTCTGCTTGAAACCTCCCTATAAAAGCTTTTCCTGGCACCCTTGCTGGCAGATTTCCAGCAGTTTTCACTGATGTACCCTAGCAACTTCTCTGACATTCAGCAAGTCACAGCCATTCCCTCTCCCACAAGGCCTGGATCTGAGTCCTGGGGGAAGAAAAGGGAGCCGCCTTTGGCTTTTTTTTCTTAGCACAAGGAAGGATATGGCTTCTGTCTGCTATTCCTGTATTCTCTAGATTTCCCCACTTCTTACTTGCCATTCCCTCATCCCTCCAGTCCTAAGTTAATAATTCATTAGATAAAGCTTTGTCTGGTTATTGTTTGGGCTTCCCTGGTGGTTCAGAGGGCAAGGAATCCGCCCACAGTGGTGGAGACCTGGGTTTGATCCCTGGGTTGGGAAGATCCCCTGGAGAAGGGAATGGTTATCCACTCCCGTATTCTGACCTGGAGAATTCCATGGACTTTTTAGTCCATGAGATCTAAAAGAGTCGGACACAACTGAGTGACTTTCACTTTCACTTAGTTACTGTTTAATTTTTTTCTCCTAATTGAACTCAGACTGATAGAAAAAGTAATCTAAGAAAATTAGTAGGTATCTATGTATTTGAACAAAAACAATGTAGAGGATAAATCATAACTATAGAGGTTTGTGGCCCACAGTGGGTAGATGGGAGAGGGTTGGAAAGAAAGAAGGGAATAGGTACAGGTTAGTGGTCCAGACAAGGAAGGAATGATGCTTCTCTAAATACATATACTTTCCATAACTCTTTTGTAACTCTCTTAGAACCATAGTTGTGGTTCACATATCTTTTACACACCTCAAAATAATTAGACAATTAAAACCAGCCAGGATGTTGGGGGAGACTGAAGTAGTTTAATTGTGTTACAAGTGAATAGCGTAACAACACTGAAGAGAATTAGGAAGAAAGATCTAATCTGATTCTGTACAAAAGCATACTTTGATTCAGTGTTGTAAGGCTGAAGACAAGAAGAACTGTTAATGATTAGTGGTTTTCACAGGGGTGTTAGCAGGTTAGCAGTTCTGAAGCCAGGTATTTTAAAGAACCAAACATTTAAGTGAATAGATTTAGATACAGGGAGCTGAGTTTCTCACTTGTGGAGAAAAGTTGTAAACAAGGAAAGGTTGAAGGCTACAATGAATCCTGTGATTCTTGGGATTAGAAGTAGTAGTTTAAACTATGGATTTAAAAATACATAACAGAAAAATACAGAAACACAGATGTGTGTACATGTGTGGTTTAGTGTATTTTTCCTTTAAGGCTTTCCTGGTGGGTCAGTCGTAAAGAATCCACCTGCCAATGCAGGAGATGTGGGTTCGATCCCTGGGTCGGGAAGATTCTGTGGAGGAGGAAATGGTAACCCACTCCAGTATTCTTGCCTGGAAAATCTCATGGACCGAAGAGCCTGGCAGACGGCAGTCCATGGGGTCACAAAGAGTCAAACTTGACTGAACATACACACAGTATGTTTCCTACCTCTGCTGAGAGTCCTGGAAGCAGTGACTGCAGGAACAATGAGAATGCCTCATGCTCAGATACAGTAGGTCTCTAAGCATCTTTCCAGGGAAGGAACTAGGTCTCCTAGGAGGAGTGGCTGATTTAGGGCTGAGACATGAAAATACAGGGTGAGCCTTGAGCATTTTATGGTTCCATAAAGTAAGGAAATGGTTAAATAGGAAAAACAAAAATTATGAGAACTTGTTGATAGAACAGGAGCTCCTAATGGCCAAAGCTTGAATAATTTGAGCAACAGAATAACAATACTGTTAGATTTTAACCTGTAGAATAAGGTAAGTATTTATGAATTTGTACTAATACAAGTAACCAAATAAATAAATGGGAAGAAGGAGGTAGGTTTTCTTCATAATACCAGTGAATGAATGTTAAAGGAGAAAAATAGAGAATCAGTGTTAGGCATAAACCACAGTAATACATGTTGCAGACAAAATCTACTAGTGAATGATAAATTACTGGATGAAAGTTTCAAGAGAAACAAGACTTGCATAGTCTCAAAGTATCTCTCCCCGCCCCCCCCCCCCCGAAACACTTACCAGGTACAAAGGAAAAGAAAATATCTTTCTAGTGTGGGAACCTGGCAGATAGGAACTTAAACAAGATAAGTATCTCCAGGAATAAGATATAAATGAATAACATTGTTAACCTCATGATGATACACTGAGGACATCATCTTGTGGTATTCTTGCCCAAAGTATATAAGCTTACTCCAATTATGAGAAAACAGCGATTAAGGACAGTCTACAAAAGCACATTAAGGCTTTTTGAAAGTGTCAAGATGATGAAAGACAGACTGAGGAAGTTTAAAAGACTGGAGGGGAAAGGAGAAATAAAAAAGTGGGTTTGCATAGGATCCTGAGACAGATAAAAGAAGCACTAAACTTAATAATTAGTGAAATTTGAAAAAGTTTTGTAGTCTATAATACTGTATTAATGTTGATTTCCTGGCCTTGATAATCTCTGAACAGGTAAGATGTTAACAGGGAAAACTGGGTAAGAGATATAAGGGAACTCTGTAATATTTTTGCAGCCTTTAAGTCTAAAATTAGTTCAGAATAAAAAACTAAATATTAAAGATATTTTTGAAGCCCCCCAAAATGTTGAAGTCTGATTTTTCTTGTAACAGGGTTAGAAAGAGGCTTCTGAAACACCGGGAAGAAACCTTAACGATAGATCGAGCCTGCAGACAAGAAACATTTGCTTATGAGATGGTAAAAGTCCTCTCTTTTCCACCTTCTCCCATGGAACAAAATCTGTTTATTGTCTGTTACCCATAACTGTATGGTAGTTTATATTGGATATGCTTAGCTGGAAATAACTGAGAGAACCTTCACTGGGACTGGGAACTAATAGGAGAAAAAGACCCATAAAATTCAGATGATGGGGAATTCCCTGATAGTCCAGTAGTTAGGACTCCACACATTCACTCCCTGGGGTGTGGGTTTGATCCCCTGTTGGCAGACTGAGATCCGGCTAGTCATGCAGCGCAGGCAAAAAAAAGAAAATTCACATGATGGCACATTTTCCTCTCAGCGCTCTGCCTTTGTTTTTGTTTTTACTTTGGTCTTGCTCTCTATGAGGCTGATTTCATGCCTTTCACCACTCTGTTTCTGATGCTTTTGTTCTGCTCCTGGTTTTGGTCTGTAGTGTGTGCTCAGTGGTGTCTGACTCTTTGCAACCCCATGGACTGTGGCCCACCAGACTCCTCTGTCCATGGAATTTTCCAGGCAAGAATACCGGAGTGAGTTGCCATCTCCTCTTCCAGGGGATCTTCCCAACCCAGGGACCGAACCCATGTCTCTTACATCGCCTGCACTGGCAAGTGGGTTCTTTACCACTGCACCACCCATTCTTTTCTAATCCATCATTTCTTAGGTAAAACCCTCAGAATGACTTAAGATGATGAATACCGAGGAATTTACGTAACATGAAATTTAACATTTTAACCATTTTATTAGTTTAGCTGTGGGTTTTTCATATATGGCCTTTATCATGTTGAGTAAGTTCCCTTCAGTTCCTATTTATTTATTTATTTATTTATCAATCAGGAAAGGGTATTGACTTTTGTAGAAATTTTTTTTTTTTTTTTTGCATCAGCTGGGATGATGTGTTTTTTTCCATCATTCTATTAGTGTGGTTATTTGTTATGTTGAAATACCCTTGCATCCTCAGAATGAATCACCCTTGGCTTTGTAACATGCAGTCCCTTTTATATGCTACTGAACTTGATTTGCTAGTATTTTGTTAAGTTTTAGCTTTATATTCATAAGGGATATTGACCTGTAGTTTTCTCACAGTGTCTTTGTCTGACTTGGGTATCAGAGTGTGCTGATCTCATAGAATAAGTTAGGAATTATTTTCTCCTTTTCAGATTTTTTGGAGGACTTTAGGAAGGATTGATAAATTCACATGAAGCCATCTAGTCCTAGGCTTTTCTTTGTTAGGAGGTTTTTAATTTTTGATTCAGTTTTCTTACTTGTTACAGTTCTATTCATACTTTATATATTTTCTTAAGTCAGCTTTTATTATTTCCTTCCCTCTGCTAGTGTTGGGCGGAACAGGCAATAGCAACCCACTCCAGTACTCTAGCCTGGAGAATCCCAGGGATGGGGTAGCCTGGTGGGCCGCAGTCCCTGGGGTCGCACAAAGTCGGACATGACTGAAATGACGCAGCAGCAGCAGCAGCTAGCGTTGGGTTGAGTTTTCTTTTTCAGGTTCCTTAGGGTATGCACTTGGGTTATTGGTTTGAGATTGTTCTTTCCCAGTGTAGATGTTTCGAGCTGAAAGTCTTCCTCTTTCTGCTGCTTTTGCTGCATCTTGTTAAGTTTCTGATGTTGTGTTTTTGTTTTCATTTGTCTCAAAGTATTTTGTTATTTCCCTTGTGTTTTCTTTTTTGACCTATTGGTTATTTAAGAATGTATTGTTTAACGTATATTATCTAGGGTGAAACAGATCACCAGCCCAGGTTGGGTGCATGAGACAAGTGCTCGGGCCTGGTGCACTGGGAAGACCCAGAGGGATCGGGTGGAGAGGGAGGTGGGAGGGGGGACCGGGATGGGGAATACATGTAAATCCATGGCTAATTCATTTCAATGTATGACAAAAACCACTGCAATGATGTAAAGTAATTAGCCTCCAACTAATAAAAATAAATGAAAAAAAAAAAAGAAACTCACAAAACAAAACAAAAAGAATGTATTGTTTAACTTCCACATGGAAATGTTCAGTTTTCCATCTCAACGTTTGGGGTTCCTCAGTGGTAGTTTCTGTCAAATTCTTTTTTTCTTGTGAATGGGGCACATTTTCCTGTTTCTTTGTGTGTTTTATAAGTTTTTGTTGAGAACTGGACATTCTGAGTGTGTTTTTTTCCTTGTGAGGGCTAGAGCTGTTTTGAATTTTCTAAACTATTTTTCCGGTGTGTAGTCCTTGTTGTGTACAGGCATATCTCATTTTACTGCGGTTTATTATGCTTTGCAGGTAGTGTGGTGGTGGTTTTTTTGTGAAAATTATGAAGGTTTGTGGCAACCCTGTATTAAGTCTATTTGGCACCATCTTTCCAACAGCATTTGCTCTCTTAATGTCTCTGTCACATTTTGATTATTCCCACAATATTTCAAACTACTTCATTATTGCCATATTTATTATGGTGATCTCTGATCATTAACATTACTACTACAGCTCATTGAAGGCAAAGAAAATAGCGTTTTTTATCACGAAAGTGTTTTTAATTATGGTTCCGGTCTGTACATTGTTTTTTGGGACATGATGCTATTATTACACACTAAACAGACTACAGCATAGTGTAAATATAACTTATGTGCATTGGGAAACCAAAAAATTCATATGACTCACTTTATTGAGATACTTGTTTTTGTGGCGGTCTGGAGCTGGACCCACAGTAGTTTAAGGTCTACCTATATGGTCACTGATGTTTCTGATTCATTATCTTCAGTCAACCAGTGACCCGATCAAGATTTCCTTAAATGTCTGACTCTACAAAGGGTCCTGTGTCTTTAAATTTTTCCGGTTGGTGCTGCTGGGGGAAGCCACTGCTGGTAAGAGCATTAGAGAGAAGCTGCCAATTCTGACTCCATGTTGAAACTGTTTCTTTCACTTGCTTTTCATTGCTTTTGTTATTATAATCATATGTAATGGATGCTTAAAAGGACCCTGTCCCTCAGTCTGACTGTTAAAGTGCCTTTTTTCAGAACCCTGTCCTCCTGTAGATGGCAGGAAGGAAGAAATGAACACATCCCCTGCCTAAGGCTTGCCGTTCTAGGAGATGCTTGCAAGATTAATGGCCTTTTTCTTTGCTTCCTCACCTCGCCCCATCTCTGATCTATAAAAGAACCTGGCATTTGGACCCCATAAGATGGTTATTTTGAGGCACTAGCCTGCCCTCTTCTCAGTCTGCTAGCTTTCTGAATAAAGTCATTTTCCTTGTCTCAACACCTCATCTCTCAGATTCATCGGCTTGTCATGGGGTGAGCAGAACGAGCTTGGACTCCATGACAAGAGGGCCAGAACCAAGGCAAGCTTCTGCACCAGGGCCTCAGAGCATTGCCAGACCAACCACAGCATGGTTACCCCTGTTTTTGGAGAACATGATCCCACACTGCTCATCATGGCACCAGCTCCCTTTTCTAGGACCACAGCCTGCTCTCTCTGCATCTGCAGTGGGGCCGAGAGTGGGGCGTGGTCTGGTTTGTGCCCTCTGCTTACCTGGGGAGCAGCAGCAGCGTGTTTCTGCCCTGGGCCTCACCGGTGATCGGGTTTGGTCAGAGTTCAATGTGCCAAGATAGTGAGTTCCAGTCTCTGTCCGTCTTCATGGTTGCTGTGCTGGAGGGGCTTATCCTCCTGTGCCTCTGTTTGCTGCTGTGCCGTTTGGCATGATGTCACTCCCACCTCTTTTTAAAACGTCTTTTGCACCTTCTTAACCAGTCCAATCTGGTGGCCTCTATTTTATAGTTATTGGGGCTTCTCTTGTGGCTCAAATGGTAAAGAATCTTCCTACAATGCAGTAGACGGGTTTGATCCCTGGGTTGGAGAGAAACCCTGGAGAAGGGAATGGGCCACCCACTGCAGTATGCTTGCCTTGAGAACTCCATGGAAAGGGGAGCCTGGTGGGCTAAGCAAATATAAAGGAAAGTGTGATGTTGTGATGGATTAAATGTGATAGCAAATTTGGAAAACTCAGCAGTGGCCACGGGACTGGAAGAGGTCAGTTTTCATTCCAATCCCAAAGAAAGGCAATCAAAAGAATGCTCAAACTACCACACAATTGCAATCATCTCACATGCTAGTAAAGTAATGCTCAAAATTCTCCAAGCCAGGCTTCAGCAATACACGAACCATGAACTTCCAGATGTTCAAGCTGGTTTTAGAAAAGACAGAAGAAACAGAGATCAAATTGCCAACATGAGCCGGATCATCGAAAAAGCAAGAGAGTTCCAGAAAACATCTATTTCTGCTTTATTGACTATGCCAAAGCCTTTGACTGTGTGGATCACAATAAACTGTGAAAACTTCTGAAAGAGATGGGAATATCAGACCACCTTACCTGTCTCTTGAGAAACCTGTATGCCGGTCAAGAAGCCACAGTTGGAACTGGACATGGAACAACAGACTGGTTCCAAATAGGAAAAGGAGTGCGTCAGGGCTGTATATTGTCACCCTGCTTATTTAACTTACATGCAGAGTGAATCTTGAGAAATGCTGGGCTGGAGGAAGTACAAGCTGGAATCAAGATTGCTGGGAGAAATATCAATAAGCTCAGATATGCAGATAACATCACCCATATGGCAGAAAGTGAAGAACTAAAGAGCCTCATGATGAAAGTGAAAGAGGAGAGTGAAAAAGTTGGCTTAAAGCTCAACCTTCAGAAAACTAAGATCATGGCATCCAGTCCCATCACTTCATGGCAAATAGATGGGGAAACAGTGGGAACAGTGAGAGACTATTTTCTCGGGCTCCAAAATCAGTGCAGTTGGTGACTGCAGCCATGAAATTAAAAGACTTACTCCTTGAAGGAAATTTATGACCAACCTAGACAGCATATTAAAAAGCAGAGACATTACTTTGCCAACAAAGGTCCGTCTAGTCAAGGTTATGGTTTTTCCAGTAGTCATGTATGGATGTGAGATTGGGACCATAAAGAAAGCTGAGCACGGAAGAATTGATACTTTTGAACTGCGGTGTTGGAGAAGACTCTTGAGAGTCCCTTGGACAGCAAGGAGATCCAACCAGTCCATCTTAAAGGAGATCAGTCCTGGGTGCTCATTGGAAGGACTGATGTTGAAACTGAAACTCCAATACTTTGGCCACCTGATGTGAAGAGCTGACTCATTTGAAAACATCCTGGTGCTGGGAAAGATTGAGGGCAGGAGGAAAAGAGGACGACAGAGGATGAGATGGTTGGATGGCAACACCAACACCGACTCAATGGACATGAGTTTGTGTAAACTCTGGGAGTTGGTGATGGACAGGGAGGCCTGGCGTGCTGCAGTCCATGGGGTCTCCAAGAGTTGGACATGACTGAGCAACTGAACTGAAGTGACTGAAAGATATGATATGTAGTAAAAACAGGGTTTTAGAGTGAAACATATCTGTATTTGCATTCTAACTGTCTGATTTACCTTGGGTAAATTGGTAAAGCTGAGTTTCATTTGTCAAATAACTTTCTTGATAATATGGAAGTGAAATTGCTCAGTTGTATCTGGCTGTTTGTGACCTCATGGATTGCAGCCCGCCAGGCTCCTCTGTTCATGGAATTCTCTAGGCAAGAATACCGGAGTGGGTTGCCATTTCCTTCTCCAGGGGATCTTCCTGTCCCAGGGATCAAACCTTTGTCTTCTGTTTTGCAGGCATATTCTTCATTGTCTGAGCCACAAGGGAAGCCGTGATAATATGGAAGGAGATGCATAAAAGTGTTAATGACTGTAAATGTCAGTATTATACCAATGTTAGTGGATACTCCTATTTTATCATCAGTTGCTAAGCACTTAGTGCCGAGCATCTTATTAGGTGCTTTATTTTACATTCCCAGCAACTATTCTGTAAAATAAATATTTTCTCGTTTTTTACAGATGATGAAACTAAAGCTTAGTGAGGTTTTTTAAACAATTTTCTTGAAGTAGAATTAGGAGCTAAATCCAGGGCTGATTGAAGCCCTTGCTTATAGCCCTTATTCTACACTGACTCTGATCTGGTTCACAGTGTCTGATTTTAATGTCCCGTATTGCTTTCCTTCTTCAGGAGTCACATGCTATTGGGAAAAAGCCTGAAAATTCAGCAGACATGATTGAAGAAGGAGAGCTTATCCTATCTGTAAATATCTTTTACCCTGTGATTTTTCATAAGGTCAGTAGTAAAACCTTTTGGACTTTACAGATTATATGAGTGACTTTTGCCAGAGTTTATTTATTTAAACCTTATTTGAACTTAAATAAACACAAGCATATGCTGTTTTATATGACATTCTGTTTATATTCTTGAGTTCTTTGTTTTACAAGGAATATCATAAAGTCAATTTTCATATAATCTCTTTAGTAATAGGATTACAGTTACAATGTTGGAATGTATACCTGATTTCTGTACTAGTAGCCACTGAAAGTGTGTAAATCTGCAGTGATTCTGATAGTATTATTTCTTGAGGGTTTTTTTTTTTTTAGGAAAACTGGTTAAGCAGGGTTTTGTTTTGTTTTTACCAATTCAGAATTCTTGGGAAGTTATTGAACTAGCTAAGGACAGTTCTTCTTCGATGAAAATGCAGAAAGTTAGCATGTCAAGGGTATCCAGGAATTTCTTAGGCATCTCTAGTAAAAAGAACTCTATTGCAGTGAATATATTCTCAATTTCCCAAATAGATGTATCATAATATTACTGTACATAAATTGCACTTGTGAATAAATAACTATACCACAGATGATATGAATCATCTGTGGTATAGTTAGCACTAATTATTAGATTGGTACAAAAATAATTGTGGTTTCAGACTGAATTTTACATCATTATAATTAGGTTCAAACATATCTTTATTAATCAAAATAGGAAACATTGCAATCAACACATCTTGCCAATGAGAAATAAGTTTTTTTATTCCTGTAGCATATAAATCCACGCTTCAGGATTTGATGAACTCTTGGAAAGCATTTTCTCCCTCTTGCTGGTTGTGGAAGCGTTTTGCCTTTAAGAAGTTATCAAGATGCTTGAAGAAGTGGTAGTCAGTTGGTAGGTGAATATGGCAGGTGAGATAAAACCTTATGGCCCAATTCATTTAACTTTTGAAGCATTGGTTGTGTGATGTGTAGTTAGGCATTGTCATGCATAAAAATTGGGCCCTTTCTGTTGACCAATGCTGACTGCCAGTGTTGCAGTTGCATCTCGTCTATTTGCTGAGCATACTTCTCAGATGAAATGGTTTCACTGGGATTCAGAAAGTTGTGTGGTCAGACCAGCAGCAGAATACCAGTGACCATGGCATGTTTTTTTTGTGCACATTTGCTTTGGGAAGTTCTTTGGAGTTTTTTCTTGGTCCAGCCACTTAGCTGGTTGTCACCAGTTCTCATATAAAATCCGCTTTTTGTCACAAATCACAATTCAATCGAGAAATGGTTCATTGTTGTTGTTATAGAATAAGGATGACAACACTTCAGAAAGAGGTTTTTTTGATTTTCAGTCAGCCCATGAGGTACCCACTTAACTTTTTCACCTTTTTCACCTTTCCAATTTGCTTCAAATGAGAAATAGCTGTAGAATGGTTGACGTTGAGTTCTTAGGAAACTTGTTTAGTTGTAAGAGGATCAGCTTTGATGATAATCCTCAACTGGTTTTTGTCAACTTTGGTGGCTGTCCACTACACTCCTCATCTTCATGGTTCTCGTCTCCTTTGCAAAACTTTTTGAAGTTTTGCACTGTACTGTAAGTTTGTTAGCAGTTCCTGGGCCAAACACATTGTTGATGTTTCAAGTTGTTTCTGTTGCTTTACAACCCATTTTGAACTCGAATTAGAGAATCACTCAAATTTGCTTTTTGTCTAACATCATTTCCATAGTCTAAAACAAATATATAATAAACAGCAGGTAGTAAGTCATTAGCAAAGAAAAGTGAGAAATGTGCAATAAAATGATGCATAACATAACCACATTTATTTACGAATATATTCCAGTATCAAACAACAAATTTCAACAGTGTAAAGACTACAGTTACTTTTGCACCAGTCTAATACCCTGTTTGATTAAGATTCTAAATTATCAATCAAAGAAAACAAAGCAAAACAAAACTAATAAAACCAAACGTGGGTAGTGTATAGATTCCTTGATTTCAGTGAGGTAGCTTTCAGGACAGTTTAAAAGTCAGTGAACTTATATTCCTAAGACTCTTCATATTAATGTCACTTTAGTAGCAATTTGGTTATAAATTTTCACTTATACTAAAAAAAGTTTTATTGCCAGGTGTATTAGTCCATTCTGGCTGCTATAACAAAATAGCACAAACTGGGTGGCTTATAGGCAACAGAAACTTGTTTCTCACAGTTCTGGAGGCTGGAAGTCTAAGATCATGGTGCCAGCATCTGGTGAGCGTCCTCTCCCAAGTCACATCCTTTTTATAAAGGCACTAATCCCATTCATGAGGAGGTCCGCCCTCATGACCTAATGACCCTCAAAGGCCCCACCTCCTAACATCAGCACATTGGGCCTTAGGATTCCAGCATGATGTGAATTTTGGGCAAGTGTAAGCAGCACAGCACCAAGTGTCTGTTGTACTCATAGGATTTTAATTTATGGATACCAGTGTCACTGAAAGATTTTCATTATTTACGTTTCCTGGGGGGAGAGTATGCCGTGTCATGCAGGACCAAAGGGGAAGTACCAGGATCAGTCAGGAGGCAAGGGGAAAGCACAGGCCACAGCCCTTATTGGTTTCCACAGGAAAGGCAAGGCAGAGCAGAGTACACAGTTTGGGATTGACTGGCTTGAATAATTCCTGGGGGCTCTGGGCTGTGGGGCTGTCCTAGTTGTCTGGTACCTGGCTGTGGTTTGACCTCAGACAGAGGAGAAGTACTGACGTGGTATAATGAGAGTTAGATAGAGATAGTTTCAGAGTATGGGCTCTGGATATAGGGGAAAGGTAAATAACTGACAGTTAGTTTGGACCTATAATTAACCGATGCTGGGACTTCCCAGTGGTAAAGAAGCTGCCTTCCAATGCAGGGGGACATGGGTTCAGTCCCTGGTCAGGTAGCTAGGATCCCACATCCTGTGAGGCTACTTTTTCCACATGCTGCAACTAGAGAGAAGCCCTTGTGTCACAGTGAATGATCCCACGTGTCAGTCACAGGGAGGATCCTACATGTCACAGCTAAGACCTGACACAGTCAAATAAATAAATAAAATGCATAAATATTTTTAAAAGATCAGTGCTGAGTAGACAAATGCAGAACCTAAGGAAACTCGGGATACCATATTATGGGTATAACTTAAGATAACCAGTAACTTAATTTAGATCTGGCCATGACAGGATTTATAGATGAATTGCTTTGTCTCTTAAGTGAACACTGATTTATTTACTGTCTGACTTGTAGCACAAAGAACATAAGCCCTACCAAACAGTGCTGGTATTGGGCAGTCAAAAGCTCACGGAACTGAGGGATTCCATTTGCTGTGTCAGTGACCTCCAGATTGGTGGGGAATTCAGCAACACTCCTGACCAGGCTCCTGAGAACATCAGCAAGGTAAGGTGATTTTTTAAATTTCTAACCATCATAGAACAGGAGGAAATAATAATCATAAGCTAAGGAAATAGGATTGCAGGCTCATAGGCATTCCAGTAAATGCTTTCTTCTGTGCTATTCCATCAAGCTTATCCCTTCTTTTCATCATCAAGACCTTTTCAAAGATGAGGCTACATTCAGTTTTGATTTCATCTCCCATTTATTTCTCAGCCATTCTTTGTACACTCTTCTTTCTAAGGGCACAATACCACCTGATTATCTAGGCAATAGGTCTCTCTTCCATGTGCATACAACTTGACCTCACTGTAGCACTGGAATGTGCTGTTCACTCTCTCTTCTTGCAAACTCTGTGTGAGTTTGTCTGTCATAACTGACCCTAGCAGAGGGTTGGAGTCCACCCAAGAGCATCACTGGCCACAGAAGAACCTTTCAACGCAAGGACAGAAGCAAACAGGGACACACCCTGTGACATTGGGCCTTGCTGGTACTTCCCAGGGTGCTGCTCTCAAAACAACAGTGAAACCTTCCATACTCACTGAAACAGGATAGAAAGGCAGACTGGCCACCCACAATTTTCAGAAGGGATTGCTTACTCAATAATGTAGTAGGGCCTGGATCCTTTGAATTTCATCACAGAGCAAGCTTGACCCAATTCTATCAGCTTGTACAACTCTGGCAGAGGACCTCAGATTTACTGGCATATTTAAGAGGGACAGCATCTCCTGTAGGTCACTAAAAAGCTGTTTGGAATGAATGGCAATAGAGTTTGGACGTGAGCCATCAGAATCTCTTTTTGCTCTTTCCTTTATCATCAGCCACATAAATGCCATTATAACTTAGGTCTCGTCTTAATTCTTATTCTAAGTTCATCTCCTGGGCTTTCCCCCATTTTAATTTTCATGGTTTTAAGTATACTCCAGTATTTATGAATCTCTTTCTCTCTTGGTTTCCAAACTCATTCTTTTTAAGTGTCTACTGGACATTCTCACTTAGCCTCAGTGCTGCGTGGCATTTTTACCACCTCTCTATAGTTGGTACACCCTTCCACTTTTCAAGGTAACTATTTTGTTCCTTCTGAAACTGCCAACATCTTTTCCTCATCGCTTCCCTTCAGCTGCTGTCCATTTCATTGAGCAAATAAGTTATCAGAAAAGAATTTTCCATCATCTCTCACCCACACTTACCCATCTGCCCATGCATTCTGCCTTCCCACCTGTTACACTGGATGGATTAAAACTGTTGCTATCAAAGGCCAGTCTAGGTGTCTGCTAGATTCCAACCCCACTGTATAACCAAGGACTTTTTTCTTGTACTATCGCCTTTTTTCCCTGCCTCATCAGCTTTTTCCCTTCTGTTGCCTATCCCATCAGTACACAAATAGCCTGTAATATCGCCTATCCTAAAACCTCTTACCATGTATCTTCCTCTGGCTACCATCTCATTTTTCTATTTTCTTTGCATTAAACTGACTCAAGAATTATGAATTAATAGTGCCTCAGCTCATTGTTTCTCTTTTTCTCTCCCCTTTGTCTTACACACACTCTTGTTCATCACCACGCCACCAAAATCACTTCATTGTTGTCGCCACAGATTAATTTCTCATCTTACTTGATCTCTCATCAGCACATGACACAAGCGAATATTCCTTCTTCCTTGAACCACTTTCTTAACTTGGCTTTTAAGTCTTTACACCTGCCTCATTTTCTTCCTATCCGACTGACTTTTTACTCCTCTGCTGGATGCTTCTGATCCTCCTAACTGGTGAATGTTACTAAGCCCTTTGAATCAAGGTGAACTTATCCAGATTCCTAGTCCAGATTTGTATCTCCAATCTCAGTATCTACAAACTCCAGATTTATTTTTTCCAACTGCCTACTTAACCATTACTGAACGTCTAATAGCCACTTTAAACCTAGTATGTTCAGAAACAGACTCTAGTTCTCTCTTCCTCCTCAAATCTATACCTTTCCCAGTGTTTCCATCTCAGTAAATATGCTCATTCTACACCTGGTTACTTAAACCAACAACCTTGGAATCATCTTTGCCCCCTTTTCATCCCACATGGAAGGCGTCAGCAAGTGCTTTGGCTCTACTTTCAAATTATGTTTAGTATCTGCCCGTGTATCTGCTTCACAGGTAGCAGCCTGAAGAACCACCATCATCTCTTGCCTGAACTGTGGAGTAGCCTAGTGACCATTCCCACTGCTCCTTTTCACCTTCTGTTTATCCTTTACACCAAGCCAGAATGATACTCTAAAGTATCATGCAGACCCTGTTGCTTTTCAACTTGAAAGTCTATAGAGGCTTCCTCTTACATCTAGAGTAAAATACAAAGTCCTTTCTGTGGCCCCGTCTGCCTCTGGACTTTATATGCTGACACCCTCTTTGTCCCTTGTTGCCTGCACACCACGTGCCATTCTTGCTCTTTCTCATGTATGCTAAGCAGGGTCCTGCTCAGAGCCTTTGCTTCTCTTGTTTCCTCACCTTAGGTGTGTTATTTACCCAGGTATTCTGATGGCTCACTCCCTCATTTCTTCATGTTTCTGATGTTGCCGTGACAGATCTTTCCCTCTCTTCCCCAGACTTGCTGATAGCACTCCCTAATGTTAAGTTATATGTTTGTCTGTCTTCTCTTGAACCATGAGGGTAGGGATTTGTTTTAGGAATTATAGGAATACAGAGGAATTTAGGAATACAGAGCTGTATTTCTGTGATGATGTGTGGCACAAAGGAAGTTGTCAAATCCTTGTTGAATAAATAAACGAACCAGAATACCTCAAGCTCAGTGTTTAGTCTTGAACTCATTACTCTACAATCTCCCTTTTTCTTCAGATGAAACTCTCCTTTTCCATTCCTCTTTATTCTGCCTGTATAGCTCCAGACTCTTTTTTTTTCCACTGCTGTGTGCTTTAGTTTAGGCCCTCATCATCTTCTCCAGGAACTATTATAGAGACTTCTTAACTGATTTTCCCACCTTAAGAGTGTCCTATACATGCTACTCAAGATGTCTTTTAAAAACAAATCGGACACCAAGAGGGAACTCTGGACATTAGGTGACTGTGATGTGCTGGTGCAGGTTTATCCTTGGTAACAAATGTACCGTCTGTTGAGTGGTGTTGATAATACAGGCAGGCCATGCATGTGTGTGGGGGCAAGGGCTGTATAGGAAACCTCTGCCTTCCTATTTTATTGTAAAGCTAAAACTGCTCTAAAAGAATAAAATGTTTAAAAAAATTGATCCTGTGATTCTCCAATCTAAACATTTCAGTGGTTCTCCATTGTACGTAGTCCAGGCTCCTTAGGCTGACCAATAAGGCCTTTTGTGAAGATGTTTCTCAAGTTAACTTTCTATACTATTCACCCCCCTCCTTTTACACCTTAGGCTTCAGCCACAGTGAATTTATCTTCCTCAAGCGTACCATACTGCTTTATGCCTCTGAGTGTTTGAACGTGGGTGGGAAGCCCTTGCTCTCACTTATATGAGATTCTTCTTGACACTCCTCTGTTTGCGACTCTGCCATGTTTCATGTGTCGATTCTAATGCTTTATAGTCATATATGATACTATTTGATATGTTTGTCTGCCCAATAAGACTGGCTGTGTTCCAGCCTTTTTGGTGATTGGCATGGAGAGCAGCATACTTTCTGAGTTACATTGAAAATGGTTATAAGATATTGGGGTTCTTCAGGTTTGTCAGCTTGCTGCTTTTGAAGGTAAACACTGAAGAGAAACAAGTGGAATCTCAAGGCTGTATGCACACTAGGAAATAGAAGGTTTATTGTTTCTTTTAAAGGAGAAGCAATCTTTTGCAAAGTTTCTCTACCCTATGAGAAAAAAAGAACACGGTATAGCTATAAGTTTATAAGATCAGTTTAATAAAAATATGAATTCACCCTCCTTATTTCATCTGTGTGATAACTGCTCAAAGCAGTGAGTCAGATCTGAGAATCAGGCTTAGCTCCAGGAACCCTGGAGAGAGTTTTTAACCAGACTTGTTTAGTTTATTGTGTTTGTACATCAGCGCTCATACCTTCAGCAGCTTTCTAACCAGGAAACTAAATGACCCATAGTCCTATTTTTGACTATTTACACATCTGCTTTTACATTGTTTCTCCCTCTTCCATGTATCAAAATAATACCCTCTTATTATTTAGCACTTATTATGTGCCAGTTGTATAATACACTAGTTGATAGTTCAGTATCTTTGGAAAGAATATCACCATTTTACAGGTAAGAAAAAGGTGGTCAGAGCATTGTCATAAGTTAACCCTGTTCGGTAAAGCAGTGGTGGAGGCTAGATTCAGACCATTGTCAACTTGCCTTCAAAGCCCCATGTTTGTCCTTTGCCATGTTGGCACTATGCCTGGCTTCGACATCTCTCCCCTACCCTTTTGTTTATTTGGTGAACAAGCACTACATGAAAACTTGAGCTGTGCTGGTTAAGGGCAAGATTCTAGTACATACAGTTTGTGGAATCTTTGCCTGTTCAGGGACCTGTTTCATGTGTTTCCTTGTTCTCCAACTATGTTTTTAGAAAGGTGAACTCAAAATTATAAGTGAAATTTTCCTGATGCTAACAGTTGTTTGGTCTGTGGAAAAATTTTTATTTTATCGATTAACATTTGGATTTCATGATTTTTTTTTTTTTAAGTTTTACCTTGGAAAATTCTAAATACACACACAAAAAAGACATGCATATATGCATAGCCGAGTCCACCTGCAGTTCACCTGAAACTCAATATTAATTGGCTATACCCTCATATAAAATAATAAGATAAAAAAAAAAAGAGAGAGAGAATAGTATAATGAGCCTTTATGTACTCATTATCTACCTTCAATAGTTCTCAGCATTTTGCCAGAATCATTTCATCTGTTTACCCCATGCCATTGTCACACCTAACAAACTGAAAATAAGTCCTTACGTTATAATGATTTTTTTTAACAGGGAGATGTTTGGCATGTATTCTACTGGTAATCATGGAATAAATTATTTACTTGCA